TTTGCGTGCCGACTGATTTAATAAAATATCTAGTCATCCATCCATCTAGTCTAGCGAATTTGCCCTTTTTAACTGCCAATTAGTCTGTACTTAATTCGATTACAACGTCATTCTGTTGATAGTCTGATCGTACCACCGTGTCTCATTGTATTCAGTGTGAAGATTTTCAGCCAGCTTTATTTCAACCAGTTGGATTTGGCTTATGAGGCGGATTTGCCGAACTTAGCGATATAATCATGGCCAATTTTGAAGATTCCTTGTGTTTGGCTCAAGCATGATCTTATCGTAAGTCAATTTGCAGCATTACATTCGTCAAATGAAACATTTGATTGCCGAACGTACACCACCAAATAAACGCGATGAAAGAATTGGTACAATTGAAGCGCTCGAAAAAACAGTTGAAATGGTGGGTTCGTCTTAAATTGCGACAAATCAACCACAAACACCTCAGTTACTCTACCTGAAACACTCTGAGTTATCCCGGATTATTTCAACGTTTGCTTCACNCGAGTAATTTCATTGTTTTGTGATGAACTGATTAACTCATTAGGTTCTAAACTGAAGGGTCTAGTTGAGGGCGAATGGGTGCCTGCTTAGATGACAGCCTGAAATGAGCTGATGTATACTTGCAATCGTCGATCTGATCGACGCATTTTTGCTTTGATCCGCTCTTTAGCAGGCTAACGTCCGATGCATTTTGACTTTAAATCTTGCGGCTGCAACGGCAAATTTTAGCTCCGCACAACACCGGTCTATTCTACGGCCGAGCGGCTACGATTGAGTCCGGCACATTCCTGCTCGGAAACGGTGGAGACTCTGGTGGCCGGAAACAACGGTGGCGTTTTGCCGGCTGAGGATGTCTCAACGCCGTCCACTCGCACACCATCACCAACCGCAAATCGCTTCACGAGAAGACATATTCTCTCTGCGCATGTTTCACTTCCGGACGGCAAAATTTTGGAGTTCAGGCGGAACGTCAACGATGCATTTGAACTTCAGGTAATCGCTCGCTCGCCAGCACAGCTATTATTAGTTCCCCGGGTAATTTCCTGCCCACTTATAATGCGATAAACTCTTTCGAGCATGCGAATGGTGTCCGAAGACCTCACTGAATTTCATGTGATTGAATTCCTCTTCCAGACGATTCAATTTAAAGGGAGTCCCAGAATTTGGAAGCAGATCCCATTTGGTGCAGTGTAAAGCTCAGAGATTGCCCCTAGATACCAGTATAACGTCTAGATACTATCAATTCAGTGACGTAGGACTCTGAAGCTTCGACGTGCCCGGATAATCTCAAGTGATAATTTCAGGAAGAAAGTTGCGGTCGGAGTTTCTTTGAGCTACTCTCAGAATGTGGCCGGCATGCTTTATTGAGTAATGTTTTCA